CGCCTAAGACACTAGATCATTATTATTAATCATACTATTCACATAATAGCCTAGACCACTATGTTGTTACCATCCGACATGGATGCGCCCTTGGACCTAGGTTATTTAAATAAGTCCTCCAGCTGGATCCACGAACAATGTTTTGGGAATATAAATTTCAAACTTCAATCTAGTAGCAGCCTAACCATCGAAATATAACCCCTATGAGGAAGTGATCAAGTTAAAGCCCCGCTCGATATGGTCGGTCAGGGTTCCGAAGGTGAAGTGGGTACACATACAGTTTGTCGGACAACAAAAACGATTAGGATTTTCCGACACCAAACTTCAAGCACCGACGCGTATGCAAAGTTTATAAATGGCTAGTAGGTCGCAAATAATTTCAGCAGTATGCAAAGGTAAACTCAAACCCGACCCAGTTCGAGCACTAATTGTCGACGCGACATTCAGAAAACCGGCTTGATTTATTGGTATGCAACCCTGCAAACTGGTTTACGGAACAGGCACCACGACACGTTTTATTTTGATCAACTGTATCATGCGCAAACGGCGATTAATACACCAATAGTCAGCCTACTGTTGGCCGACAAAAATACAGAGAAGCTTGGTCGATACCGAATAAAAATAGAACGCCTTCGAGTAAGTCCCGAAAGTTCTAGTCCTCTTACGGGTGTTTCTTTCCAATTATATATTCCCTTACGAAGGCAGACGTGAGGCTGGACGCTAGTTTCCCAAACAAAAAACGGGAAAATTACAAGTGACAATCAAAATTTCAATGAAGCCGAAATACTTTTATTACACTGAGTAAGCAGAAAACACTAGAAAATGGCTTACATTGTGTCAACAACTCGCTCGAAGTCGAACGACACAATTGAGAAAGAGCCATCTTCGAGGTTGTGCGCGCACAGCCCGCCACAGCCATTGCACGTAAAACGTTATCCCCTTTGGTATATTTAAACTAAATGCTATTCCAAGTAATTTGAATTTATTAAAGAAATAGGCATGAGCCCCTGGCAAACTCTTCACAAAGAAAAACGTCGAGTGTAAAGTATTTCACATTTGATTCATAAAATATAAGAATAACAGATCCCAGGATGTGTAGGACCGGATTGAAAAATGTAGGACCGAATTGAAAAAATCCTGCTCCCGCGCGGTTTGAATTTTTTAAGCAGTGACGTTTCAAGAGGGAAATACTTGTTTC